AAAACCATAATTTTGTGGAGTATATATAGGATTCAAAAAAATATGTTTTAGATGGAAATAAGATAAAAAATCGCATCAACAAATGAAAACAAATTTTCCTAGGATAAATAGGTCGCTCAAGCTGCATCCTCATGCCGGTGCTCAAGCAATAGGCGAGCGGTAAGTGGACGACGGCGAGCGCTCAAGCTCCTCGTTTCAATTCCAACTTGATTCTAAACACCATGTATGGTGCTCAGACGGGCAATTTCTGTCTCGAAACCTCCCAAACAATATTTTGACATCTATATCACTTCTTTCAATCAATTTACGAATATCCATTGAAATTTGGGTCACATATTAATGAGGTGGATGCTCGACATGAATCATTATAGAGCGTATGATTGGGCATCTCCCACTAGAGCTAAAGCTTTCGAGAAAAATGATTTCATCTTTGTACATTAAGGGTGTGTTTGATAACACTCATTTTCCATGAAAAATGGAATTTCTTTTCCTTTTCCATCTAAATGTATTGTTTGATGGCCACTTTTTGCCCTGAAAATTACCACTTTTTTTTCCTTTCACGCGCCTACTTCCAGGCGTGAAAAGAATGGATTTTCCCACCTTTTAGGTGGAAAAACAATTTCTGGATTTGTTTGACTTTTTTTTTTTTTTTATATAGCAATAGAAACAAATTTCATAAGACAATTTTGATGCAAACGAACACTAAACTTTTATAAAAAAAAAAGATTTTTTAGAAAACATTTTTTTTTTCATTTTTTTTTAACTTTTTGACAATGGAAATAAATTTTATAATCAAGTATGGAAAAAATTATCAATTTAATGAACAATTTTCATGTAAAACAAAGCCAAACGAATAGAAAATTTAAAAATTTTTCGGGTGAAAAATTATACTAATCAAATACACTTGAAATCATTTTCCTTGTAAAATATTTTCTAGTCAAATCTTTTCCCTATAAAATATTTTCTTTTCATCAATTTTTCACCATTGCAATCAAACGCACCCTAATATTGGAATTGTCTGAAGTTAGTGTTTATCAAATCAAGAATTCAAAAAGAACTATTTTTTAATTTTGTAATTACTAAGATGTCATTTGGTCTTTAAAAAAATTAAATTTTGTTTTTATATTTATTTTGAATATGAAAATTTAATTTATTATAATTTTAAAAGTAAAACATAACTTTCTTTACCAAGTCGGCACTCCACCCCCACCTACATAGATTGATTCATGTATCTGAGACACGTGTTTTTGGATTTTTAGTTATTACTTTATTCACGTTTAATTACGCAAGTAGGAAACTCGCACGTCTTATTATCGGATAAATGATATGCATAATGTTTTTTGAAATATTAATACTATTTCTTGAAGTAGTCGAGGTAATTGACATTATTTAAGGAAAAAATAAAATTGTAAAAAATATATATATATGAATTAAAAAAAATTATGAAATTTTATATATAATGTGAAAATGTTGAATAAACTTAAATGTAATGATATGATTACAATAACACTTCTTTGTACACAATATTTTATGTTAACATCCCACATTTTTTCTTCTTTTTTATTTTCTACTTCTACCAAAACTTTTGTTGTTTTTATTGAAATTGCGCGAAAAAAGTGAAACATATAATTGCTAATGAGAAAATACATGTTTAGAAAAGTATATTTAAATAGTAGGCATTGTTTGTCATTAAGATTTGTTGTTGCTTACCGATCATTGCAAATCATCGACATATTAAAAATTGTTTTTTCTCTTAAATTTGAATGAAATCCTTTATCATTTGTTGGAGTTAATGGGATACGTGAAAAGAAAATTTGTTTTTCAACATATTTTTTTTTGATAACCGTGGATGTTCGGGCCAGCTTGCGCGCACCTCGACTAATTCCACGGGGTCCTGAAATTTACGGTCGGGTACTCACTTCAGTTGCCCTGAGAAGATTCGAACTGGTGATCATTGAGGAGCAAACCCAAAGCCTGACCAAACAATTATTTCTGCATGGATAATATGTTTCTCTCGATAAATCATTCTTATTCTATTGCAAAGGCCATTGGATGTGTCCAAATTTTTCAAGAGTATCACTGGACAATTTATTTTCAAGATTAATTTATGTGGCGAGATATTTTTCAAAAACATGTCTTTTGAGTTACTTAAAGAACGCCCTTTTTCAATTTCA